TCATGGATATGATTAGAGGCATCAATAGACCTCAAAAAAACAGTCCCTAAAGGACAATTCACAAGTAAATTCATCTGCCTTCTTCTCTTCCTATAACTCCAAGCATCAGTCATAATAGAAACCCCATATTGAGTCCATGCATCTTTCTTAACTTCTACAGCTTCCTTTGTGACACTGACCGCTTTTTTCAAAGAAGGCTCTGAAAACTCATATGGGTTGGGGGTTTTATCCTAGGTCCAAATTGGCCAACCGCCTCTACCGCGGCATAGGAGCTGCTTAGACGAGCGGTATTGAAAGGAATGCCCACCTCATAAAACCATGTAGTAACATAATAGGTAGCTTTATCTCTCTCTTCCTTCTTCATTATATTTTCAATGGTGGTTAGCTCCTTTGTTTTCTCTCCTGCAACCTCAGGGTCAGGCCGAGGCAAAAAACTATCCATAGGGCCTCTAACCCGCGGCTTCTTACTCCCAAAACTATAAGCAATTACAACTCTCTTTCCCTTCCCCCTAATAATGGATTGTTCTACCTCTTGACATCCCTCTCCAATCCCATCCTTATCACTATCATCATCATCATCATCATCATCATAATTGACCCGAACCCCGGACCTAATCTCTGCAACAGAGGCAAATCTCTCATCTTTTTTCATTTTTACCATACTCAAAAAATTGGTTATTTCCTCTTTGAGAGAATCAAGAGTCTTTTTACATGGGGCAACATCCCCCCTGATATCGGCAAGATGTATCTTGAACCGGTTTATGCCCCCTTTTGTATCCTTCTCACAAAACTTGCATCCTATGCAATTTTTATCATTAGGATATGGGTTGTAGCCATATTTCCAACCGGGATCACCACTCCTATTAGATCCGGAAGAAGACATCTCAAAATAATACAACTTATACAAGCAATAAAAAAAAAAACTTACTTTAATTGCTCAATATCCAAACTTCCACCTTATAGATGCTTCTAAGGAATCAAAATCTTCTAAAAACCCCTCAATAGATTTAGAAAACATCAAAAATTAAATCTAAGTAGATGTTTTGATCAATTTCTCATAACTTTGAGAAACCCTTCGATCCTAAAGAAATCACCAAAAACTAGTTTTTTGGGGGGCTTTCTCTCTCTAAAATGGGCTCTCTAAAATGGGCTCTAATGAGTTTTAGGTTCATTTAGTTTCAAATGAACCTAAAACCCCCATTTTTGGCCCCTTAATATAAGAAAATGGACAAAAATAGCCCCCACCAAAAGTATTTTCTGCCTCTGAGTGTGGCGCTGGAACAAGGCGGCCGCCTAGGTCTGAGCGCTGGGTGGCCGCCTAGGCGGTTTCCTGGGCGCCTAGGCGGGTGCCCAAGAACCTCCGCTTTTTTTGGGCGCCTAGGCCTGGACGATGCGCCCAGACCCCCAGATCCGCCTAGGCGGCCGCCCAGGCACTGAGCGGTCGGCTTTTTGAAGCACTGCATGCATGTCTGGAAATTTTCTTGTATTGGACTTGCAAACCAAGTGTTTGTCATGTGGACACGCAAGTCCACAGAATGGGAAAAAAAAAGGAACATGAGTCCATTTTGTATGACACATGTGTCATACTAGACTTGGCAAATTATAGGTAGGTGAATCATGAGAGGGATTCTTCGAATCTGAGTCAAACTCGTATCCTTATCCTTGTAACATGGTTCACATGTGATGTCCCAATCATTCATTTGCCGTACTTAATCGTTGATTGATTATTTCAATGTATGCACAGCATTATTTTTTTAAATGTAAGTTACTATCATTAAGTGTTAGGCTCTTGACTATGTGTTCAGCATGTATGGGAGCCACACAAGGTCAAAGTTCCATTTCAAATCCACATGTCCAAATAAAAAGCAATCGCCTTGAAGGAGTTAATAGATTGATTAGTACCCAAAATGATACCAAATTCCAAGTTTTGCATTCAAACTCTCAATAAAATTGGATTTCAACGTTACTATAAAGTAAAACTTGAATTGTTTGCCAATACTCGTGTCTGAGTATTCCTCCGACTCTGAGAGATGGTTCAGTAGCACAAAAAAAGTGAACATTAAAATAGCGGGAACAACACTTTTTCTACAAATGCACCTTGGAAGTTTCACAATTAGGCTCTTATTACATAGGACAATCTCATGGTTTGACTGTCACTATTATCTAAGAAAAACATATCTCATATAAATATAGCCAACGAGAAATACTCTTGGTCAATTCACAAACCCTTTATAACATGGTGTCAAAAAGAACATTTTGGCAAATGAATATAAGGAGAAATCTACTAAATTGTAGAAGATGGTGCGGCCTTATAGCATAAAGGCTTTAGTTGAACACTTGGTGAGGGTACTTGGTACAAATATAAATGACTATTGGACAAGAGGCTTGGAAAGAGCAGACTTGGAAGTTTAATGTTAACTTGTTCTCATAAGTGGGCACGCCTTAATTGTTGTCTAGTGGGCACAGCCACATTAAACTATGTAAATAACATTTGATGTTGTGGTTTGATTTCTCTTCATTCATTTGGTTTATATGTAAGTGGTTTGATCAGCACGATAAATTCTAAACCAATTAACCAGATCCTAGAATTTGCCAAATGCCTAACAATTATAACTATGTGGATTTCAAATAACTCACACCTATGCCATCTAAGAAGCAAGAGCAAATTACAACTTCCCACTCCAAACAGGAGAAAAAATAAATGAAATTCGTATTTTACAGAACAATTAAAAGAATAATATTCATATAAAAGTTCACAGAATGAGTATCATTTGATGCAATTGTTTTTTTTTTTTTTCCATCATAGTTTCACACTGGAGCGGACCCCAAATAATTGGGATAAGGCTTGGATGATAATATGATAGTTTCACACTGGCATTTAATAAGTATTCACGCCTTGAAAAAGTATAATAGTTACCAGATCTTAAGAGTATCTGGCACACTCAAATTTTATTTAAAAAAAACAAAAAAAAAACAAAGGTACAAACAATATAACAAAGTCAAGCTTCAAAATCCCATAGCTACATAAAAGCCACAGATTCATCTCAAACAAACTGAAAAACCAGAAACCAAATGAAAAATGAAAGCAAAGCTTTCTAGTACTAAGCACGGAAATGGTCATCTACAATTATCTTCAGGCGACAAACATGCAGATCTAACATGTTTCCAAAAAGATGAGACATATCAAGCAAATATTACTAGAACTGTGTTTATACTTATCAACAAATGGAACATGAAATCTCTCTTAGCACGTAATATTTACAAACCAATATCATAAGATACATTGAAAACTATGAACTTCTGACACATATAATTCGCAAAGTGTGGTGCTTGTGTGGGTGTGTGTGTGTGTGAGAGAGAGAGAGAGAGAGAGATAGAGAGAGAAAGAGAGGAACCCTAACCTGGCTGAGTAATGGGTTAACTTCAGGCTTCCTTTCATGGCTGAAGATCACAATAAATAGAACAATCACCAAACCAAAAAGCACAATCCAAAACCCTCTTGAGAGCCTCCTCTTTGCTGGCCGCCTAAATTCAGCGGTCCTCCTCCTCATTTTTCAAATAAATAATCCCAGTTCATTTAAAAAAAATCACTGTCAGAACTCATTTCTTCCCTACCCTACCCTAAAACCCATAGATTATTCCTTATTACCAGTTCTTGAAATTCATCAAAATCCAACTATTACAGTAACTTCAAAGCCATGAAAGTTGACAAACGCCTCCACATCCCAGTCCAGAATCACATAAAGCCCCCTTCCTTATCAGTTGATGCAATTCATGAGAATCCGACTGCAACAATAACTTGAAAGCCATCAATTATCAGCAAAATAGAACAGGTATAACAATAAAGGGGTATGAATAGGTAAAGTAGAGAGGGATCTGAGTACAATATCAAGATCTATTAGGGCAACTAAAACCTAGATACTCAATCGTCGGGATCTGACAGGATTTTCGTTTTCAATCTTTTGATGTGTCAATAATCGAGACTGGCTCAGTTCACGGCAGCATCTACTTCAAACCCGAAAAATTGAAGATTGATGATGGATATTTTGATTGCTGTATTATGAGAAAGAGAGAGAAAGGTGTAACAGTGTGCTGTGTAACTGAGCAATGTCTCGTTGTCGTACGGCCCACGAGTTTGTTCGACTTGATGTACGTGATTCCAAAAAATATAAAATCATCTTGGAAGACCTAACATGGATTTATTTGATTTCCTGTCTCAGAATAAATAATTAAATTTTACTGAATTAAGGGAAAATATTCAAAATGTCTTTATGTCTTCAAAAAAAATTAAAAATAAATTATCAAATATATCTTAATTTTTGTCTATTTAAAACTTTCGTAAACCTCGCCGCACTTTATTTTTTCCATTATGAGCGTTTGTTTACCAAAATAACATAGTCGTATTACCCCTTTTTAAAAAAAAATTGAACGTTTTTTACCAAAATAACCTAGTCGTATAACCCTTTTTTTTTTCAATTTTGAATATTTTTTTATTAAAATAACTTTCACGATAGTTGTATTGCGAATTACGGTACTTTAATTACTATAAAAACCAAATCAATTACGGTACTTTAATTACTGTAATCCATGCTCTACGGCATTTTAAGTATCTTAAAAACTAGTACATATCATACAGCATGTTAAGTACCGTAAAAACTAACCCATGTTATACTTCACGCAGTAACTCTTTTCTCTTGCTCATATTTATCTCTTTCATCTTTTAAAAAAAAAATTTATGTTTATCTCTTATTTCTCTCTCTAATTCTTTTTAATATTTATTGCTTCTTTCTCTCTTTTATTCTTTTTAATATTTATCTCTTCTTTTACTCTCTCTTTCTCTCTCTACTTAGTTCATCAACTCAACAAATGCAATTCCAATGCGATACAAATCTAACTCTGTCTAATTTTCATTAGGAATGGGATTGAAAGGAGTTTTGATAAGGGATAGTAAGGTACACAGGTTGTTATATAAATTTCTTTGAGAGAGAAAGAAGAGATAAATATTAAAAATAATTAAAAAAATAGAAAAACGATAAATATTAAAAAGACTTAAAAAGAGAAAGAAGATATAAACATAAAAAAATTAAAAAGATGAAAGAGATAAATATAAATAGGATGGAAGAGACAAACATAAAAAGTAGAAAAGTGTTTATAGCATTTCGAGTGGCGTATAAGATGAGTTACTTTTTACAGTACTATTGTTAGTTTTTACGTATTTTAGTTTTAAGTGTGCTTCACATTAATACAATATTATTTTGGTGAAAAAAAACGCCATGAAGATAAAAAAACAAAAGTGTCGGGAGGTTTATGAAAGTTAAAAGTTTTTTTCTAAATAAAAAAAAGGTATATTTGTAATAATTTCTCAATTTAAAAGCATAATTTTTGTATTTTAGTTTTAAGTGTGCTTCACGTTAATACAATATTATTTTGGTGAAAAAAAAAGCCACGAAGAAAAAAAAAAAGGTGTCGGTTTATGAAATTTAAAAGTTTTTTTCTAAATAGAAAAAAAGGTATATTTGTAATAATTTTTCAATTTAAAAACATACTTTTTTTAGAAGATACGTGGATGCCCAATTTTTCATTGGATTTTAAGATATTTTTAAAAACTCATAATTCTTAATAGATTTCTTAAAATCAAATACTTTTTGAAAAAATCGTATTTTAAACATAGACTACCTATTTAGGTAGTGGTTTGGGAAAAATAGGGTTGCGGAAGTGGTGTACATGAGAACCATTTGAAAAACATGCATACTAGCCATAAAAGCCCAACTTGTTAGTTGTATATTTGTACTTCTAAAATATAAATAATAATAATTTGGGTTGTTTGGAAGATTAGTAGGATTAACCAGGGAGAGCATTATGAAGAAGAGATACGGTTTGGATTTATGTAGAGAGAAGTTAGTAGGATTTGCTTTATGTAGAGGGGGAGACTAATAGCAATGCCTTTTATGTAGAGAGCATAGAAGAATGGCTTGCTTTGTATAAAAATAATGTTCTCTAGGAATGGTTTTGACTTTCACGAACAAAATATAAATGGTTTTTTTGTAGATGATCTTACATTAAATACAGTAAGACAATGAAATATGAATTACAATAATCTAATAAATCATAAATTATAAAAAATTACAAATTAACATAAATTACAATAATCAAATTAAACATGAATTACAATAACCCAAACCAGAGTTTTGCAAAACCCAAATATGTGTTTCAAAATTGTTGCAATCTAAATTGCAATAAACCCATAAAGGTTTTCGAAAACTCCATGGCGAATATTATAGGAGTTGTCGTGATTTGGAATTAGGGTTTCAAAAACAAGGATGGGGTTTTGAAACGTTTCAAAAAAAATACATATAAAGAATTAGTAATTGAAGGTTGTGGTTTATGTAAGGTTGCAACCTTAAACAATCCAATTAAAGCGCATCTCTAAATTTTATTATCACATGTAATTTTGGTGTAAAATTTTTTTAGGATTATCTCAAAATCTATTTTCATATCTAATTATAGAACTTTAAACTCCAAAAATGGTTAAAATCAAGAAGATCTATAAACATATGAAAATCTTGAAAATGGACGATCTAGATAATGTGTTGCAAGATGCACTATTTTTTGGACTCAAATTTTTTTTTTCTTCGTATCTGTACACATCGTTGTTGAGATGATTGATTAGAAGGTTTTTCATCATTAAAACAACCTTTTTGGATGGATTTTTTAGGTGCATATGTAATTCTACATTTAAGGTTGCAACCTTATATAAACTTTTACTTTTAAAAAAAATACTACATCGACTCACACTCTAAATATTTTGTATACATGTACTAAAAAACACGAACCAGGAATGGAACCCGGGCACGAGCAAGGTCTGGGTAACCGCCCCCAAGTGGGCTAAAATGGTCACAAACAAAAATCCAAGAAAACTCAAAAAATCCAAAAAACAATGAAAAGTATATTTAAAGTACTAATAAAACTACATAAGTGAAAAAATAGATTTTGAAAAATCAATTTGTATCCAGAAGTATTTTAGAAATAAACTAAAAAAGATGAAAATAAATGCAAAAATAAGTATTTATAGCCAATATACTTCACAGTCTTTTCCAAAACAATAGAAAAGATCAAAATATTACATTACAATCAAATTTTTATCTTTTTGAATTTTTTACAATTTTTTTTTAAGTTAGGGGTTCAAGCCACTGTAATCGACCCACCCAGGCTATGGCCGATTATGAAAAACCTAGCCGAGTCCAAATCGACCCGCCCGGTTTTGCGAATAGGACTTTTCACACGTCACGTTATCAGTGTGCATTTTCTATGGCTTGGGGGTGACTTTGGAAGTTGTGGAGCCAAAAGTCTCAATTTTGGCAAGGAGGGACATGACTTTTCCACAAGCACACTTAATTGGAAAAGTTTGAGGAATCTTTGGTTCTTAAGAGAAACTTTTTTACCTACCGTATTGAATAATGGAATTGTGTCTCGGGCGCGGTTTTCATGACGCCAGCCCGCATATTGTAGAAATGCAGGCTTGGCAATAAATTTATTTTTAAATATAATTTGATCTTAATTTTTTGAGAATATCTAATCTTTAAACATAGAGATCATGAATATGGAAAAAAAAAAATGAAAACTGAAAATAATAATTATATCAATGAAAAATTTGGACCTCTAGTTACCATGGTTTTTAGATGGACCACCTATTTGCATCCATCTTTAAGATGGATGCTTCATACATATGGATTGCCTATTGTAGAAATATCCAACCTACATGAAACAATTTTCCTTGTGTCTCAGATCTCAATAATTTTAACAAGTAGGAAATTGTACATATTAAAAATTTATTGAAACGAACAAATAAATGATACAAAGATCAAAGCATTCCAGCATAAAATATAGCAAACATCACATCATCAAGCAATCACAATAAAAGAAGTCATGCAGTAGAATCACTAACTTCAGGTCCAAGGTTAGAACTTCTACCTTATCCTACAGGAGAAGTGCCACTCACTTTCGTTCGAGGTGTAACACCTCACTCACACACAGTTCCCAACGTGCTTTGGGACTTTTGATAGACACTAGCCTTTCAAGACACTACTCCCTATGCCCACTTGGCAATGAGTTTGCAACGTCTGTATGCTAATCATTATGAATGGGGAGCGACCACCTAAACATCTCCTGCCCCTACTTCCGTCCTATCATGGGGAATCGGGAAAGTCACAACTACTGGCAACAAGTCAGGCCATGAAATACGCTCAAAGCATGCGAAGAAATCACATATCACATCATGTGCACCTTTATGCAATACTCCCAAAGCATGCCAAGAAATCACATATAATCACAAGAGACATCACCATATTATATTATCATGCTTATCAATTAAAAAAACAATAACATGTCAGTAGCATGTTATATATTAATATAATAAACATAACTATGTCATACTATCATGTTTATCAATTCAATAGACATTACTATATCAGTAGCATGCTATATATCAATGTAATAAATATCACTATGTCATATTATCATGCTTATCAATTCAAGAGGCATTACCATGTTAGTAGCATATTATATATTAATGTAATAAAATCATTATGTCATATTATCATGTTTATCAATTTAAGAGACATTACTATATCAATAAAATGTTATATATCAATGTAATAAACATCACTATGTCATATTATCATATCTATCAATTCAAGAGATATTATCAGGCAATAGCATGCTACATATCAATGTAATAGACATCACTATATCAATTTCTGGTTTTTCCAGATTAACACTGTCCACCTTTAAGGTATCATTTAAACTTACAACCAATTTATTGACAATCTAAACTCATAACCAAACACCTTTCATATGGGAAGTAACCTCAAATATTGGTCTAAAGTTTGTCAAACTACTTGGTTTTCCCGGATGAAATTTATGTTATGCGTAGCAGAAAATACAGGGTGACACCCTACTATAAAAATGGCTATAACTTTCAAACTAAAAGGAATTTATTATGAGTCCAAGACTAATTTTAAACTATGCTCGTTTATCTAACATTTAAAAGTGGTTTCACATCATTTTAGTAAATTCTGATCAATCAAAAGCCTCGCACAAAAGTATATTAAATCCCTAGATTTTCATTTCACATATCTAGCATGCTTCA